AACAAAATGTCTGACTCTTCTAACCTAAAGAGTGCAGGAGCTTCGGGCTTTCATTTTACTCACCAGTGACTTCTCATAGTCGATTTGAGAGCGCGAGGTAAAGCTGCGTAGCTCCTTGCAGGGCTGCGGAGTCGATGGATTTTCGGCGACTCCGACTCCGACTCCGACTCCGGCTTTTAAAGACCAGCTCCGACTCCGACTCCGACTCCGGGCAGAATTGTCGACTCCGACCGACTCCAACTCCCGACTCCAACTCCGTAGACCTAGCAGGGCTGCGGAGTCGACAGATTTTCGGTGACTCCGACTCCGACTCCGGCTCGGGTTTCTAAAATCGACTCCGACTCCGACTGCGGTCACAACTGTCGACTCCGACCGACTCCGACTCCGACTCCGACTCCGACTCCGCAGCCCTGGCTCCTTGTTCACTTCTTGGAATGAAGTAAGTAAAGACTTGAGGGCTGTTCACGACGTCGGTTTATGTGGTTTACATAAACTGCCCTCGGGGCACGTTCCCGGCTGTGACGTCACAAGGCGTTTATGTTTACGAAACACAAATGTTTACGAAACACAGTGACAACTAATTGGCAGTTGAGAGTTGAGACGATACTGTAAAAGTTGCAAATAAAAGATAATCTGATGGAAATATGTCTCATATCATGACATATTGCAAGAATAATGACAGTTTTCACCGCAAAATACCCACGACGCCAGACGCTAGTTAGCAGAGAACGATGCTCAAAATAATCATTAATTTCAATGAAATAATAAAATACACCATTCCAGTCCTCTGCGACGTTGTTTAAAACTCATTTACCCATCTATCAGCCCCTGAACTATCCGAATTCAAATTTCCGGACATGCCTAAGAGCTGGACTTTTTGCACGCGTTCCCCGCCAGGGGGCGCCACTGAGGAAGCACCCTCTGACGTCACGATAAAACTGCGCGCACTGTGCGCACGGTTCTGTAAGCAAGTAATATAGTGGTGGTTTCATGGTGGAAATTGGAATAAGTATTTTAACGTTGTAAAATTTCAAGCCGTTTTTGTGAAATTAATTAGTAAATGCATTTCAAAAGTATTTATTTTAAGTGTGAAAGGAGAATAATTAGAAGAACATGGATATTTTTGTTCCAATAGCTTATTATGTGAGACATTATCGGTACTAACGGGTACTTCTAAGAAGTAGTGAAGAAGTACCAAACAGCCTGCTCCGCTACGATCGTCAGCTGTCCTTTGGAGCTGGACTTCAACGCTGTAAAAAAAATATGTGCTGAATTAATTTTTAGTTTCACCAAAATATAAGCAATTTATCATTTCTTTTTCACTTTTGTAATTATTGTTGAGTGAAGAGACATGTTGCTAGTTCTGACAATTTAAATTATTAATTAAAAAAAACGAAATGCGACGGTAAGTATCTGCTACTAAATTATCACTCTGACCAAATACATGGAGAATCTTGCTACCATTGCTTATAAAACGTGCTTATCAATACACAAATGTTTTATTTCACACAAGAAGGATTTATTTGCCTGAAGTCTTGCGTCATGTGCTACTGCTTTGATTCCAAAGACGCTCTCCGGGTCGGGGTAATTTAGTTCTTCATCGATCGATAAGAGATTTTGATTCCATTGATATCCAAATTGATAAGCTCGGCACCATGGAGTAAGGGCGTCCCCACAGGGGTGACGCAGGAAATATGAATAGCGTTTACACCGACAGTAGTTTCCCACAGCCGGCAATGGGAATCTCCTGTCGGTGTAAACGCCACTATAGTCCCATCCAACTCAAACACTGGGGAATATCCCCGCACTTTTGAGGACGGAAATCTATGGACCTGCTCGAAAAATAGTGGATAAAATACGGCGAGCTTTCAGTTTTATGGTTGGGTCTCCCTTCCGAGGCACATATTTACGGGGGATATTGGGTCATATTCCCCCGGCGTCCTGATGATCGGCGCCCAGCTCAACGTCGAAGGCGCCCTGATACGCGGCACTGCTATCTGTGAAGGTGCCCAGGTTGCTGCCGCTCGAATTTTGGTCGCCTACTTAACAAAACCTCCGTTGGTGCCATCTCAGTTTCCTCGAGGTCAGGCAACCTTCACACGCCGTTGGCTACCTTGGCTGGCCGGCGACTCGTTCCCCTCGTGGCGACGCTCTTGACATCCAGTCAAAAGTTGGAGTGGCTGGCGCCCCCAGTGGGGGCCGGGGAAGGGGCAGTGGGCCTCCACGTTGCTCTCTTCCCGAGCCTATGGTGACTTGGCTCAACTCTCCTCAATAGAATCTGGATTCTGCACGCTGTATTAACATGGGCGTAGACACCACTACGGACAATACGGACAGTGGGTGTGACAATCAGTAGTGCCATTCATATAGAGGGTGTCATATATGAGCGGAGAGGCAACAGTACAGCTGAGCGGACAGACAACATTAAAACAACAGTACAGCTGGCGTTGCATGGAGCTGCAGGCAACCGGACAGCGGAGGCTTGCGAAAAATAAACAATTCGTCACTTCAATGTATAAACAACAGTACATATAAAAAGCAACATAAACACATATTCGCATGGTCGAACCCATGCACTAGCGGCTCACGGCGGGCACAGGCACGCAGTGCGGTAGCGGTACCGGATCACACGTCATGGGCGTTGTCTCAGCATAGGTTGTTATGAGCGGAGAGGCAACAGTACAGCTGAGCGGAGAGACAACATTAAAACAACAGTACAGCTGGCGTTGCATGGAGCTGCAGGCAACCGGACAGTGGAGGCTTGCGAAAAATAAACAATTCGTCACTTCAACGTATAAACAATAGTAAAAGCAACATAAACACATATTCTCATGGTCGAACCCATGCACTAGCGGCTCACGGCGGGCACAGGCACGCAGTGCGGTAGCGGTACCGGATCACACGTCATGGGCGTTGTCTCAGCATAGGTTGTTCGCAATCTAGTTGAAGCCTAAGAAGACGGCCAGTGGGGTCTCACTGCTGCTGAGGCGACCTCGGAGACGATGCGTCGCCCCTTCCTGTCGGCGACCTGCGGTGAGCAGGACTCCAGATAGCTGGCTGGCACGTTGCCGACACTGCCAGACGCTGTCAGCAGGCCTCACTGCTGCAAGTGATGTGCAGATGGACGCCAGGTGACTTCGTCTGCAGGCGATTCCGGAGACCGCGGCCTCACCAGGCAGTATCACCTGCATCGCCATGTCGGTGTTTCTAGAAATGGAAAAATAACAGTATCGGTGAAGGACAAGCAATACAATGTATTCTGTTTTCCTCTCTTGCAGGTATACGTAATCTACAATTATCATTGTTCCTATTTCATTCAACTGAACCTGAAAATTCCATATTGGCACATTGTTTGACTAAATTTGTGTAGTTGGGAACAGGGGCGACGCCACGGTGCGACGACTGGAGGGGACATTGACCATTTTGGAGGGGACGAGGACCATTTCAAGTCGATTCTTTCCATGCAACGCCATAGGCGTAATGTTAAAATTTTAAAAAGTGGAGGGGACGAGATTCCCTCTGTCCCCCCCCCCTGTGGCGACACCCTTGGTTGGGAAGCAGATTGTTTGAAATACATGTTTGGCTGAACAGTGCGGAAAATATTTCATTGATCACTATAGCTGCAACAAAAATACTGAGCCAGAAAACATTTGCGCTTACCTGGCTCCTTAGTCAGTCCCGCACAACGGAAGTGGTACCATTTATCGCAGCCGTCGCATGCGACCATCGGTGCTGCACTGATGCTGCTGCACTCCCCACATTCCCAGTAGGTACCTTAGGAGCGTCCTGGCTGTGAAAAGATTACATGAGTCATGGCGCATACATGAAAAGTAAGATGTTTTATAGGTTTAACATCGCATAGCAAAGACACAACAGCTGGGAGTCAAGTGTTAGCCAAAGTGTAAGCCCTGCCATGTTTTGCAGACTGGATTTTAGGCAAGAAAAGCTTTGCTAAAAATGACGCTTGACGAAGCCTCATCCTACTGGGCTGTCTGACATGTCTCCCTGTAAAAAGCATGTGGCCCTTATATTGTATATATGATGAATATGTTAATAATGCAGAGAAAACACGGTATAAATTATACCCAGCGTTTCATCTTAATCGACTTTGTCAAGGGTGTTTGAACAGCTTGAGATGAGTGAAGTGTAAGGTGTAAGGGTACCTAGGTACAATAAACTGAATCTGCGTTCAATAAACATTGATTTTGATAATACATTTCACAAATCAACTGCTAATAACAATAATACTAAAATAGCAAGACAGATAACTACCTAACAATCGCACGAAGAACTTCTTGATTCGCCTTGACATTGTCGTCCGAACGAATGTTGTCTGAAGTTACACATTTGTCTTTTCTGCGCAGCATTTGTGTTTGCCATTTACCGCACCAATGTTCGCCAGCGGTGGTGACTTTTCCTTACCTGCCCACGAAACGTCACACACGACATGACGTCACCCGAAGACGTCATCAAAAAGTCCAGCTCTTAGGCGTGTCCAAATTTCCTAACTCACAACTCGCCTTACGAGTTTGCCGCATATCGCCATAATTGTCACATTAACGCGTTTACGCGCCATGTTGATGCTCGGAGGCATCAACCGCATAAACGGCTTACGGCGGAGGTCTGACGTCATTGACGGGATGTGACGTCAGGATCAGGTCGACGCTGATTGGTGCTTCAAAAAATAAACATGTTTACGGTTTATTAAACGGGATAAACCGACGTCGTGAACAGCCCTTTGGTGATAGAGACCTGCTCTCCTGCCGTAGTTTTCTCTGGCTTTCTTGTAGGCCGGTAACAGAGCCACTGCATTGACCCGGCCGTGCCCGTCCAAATATTCGAAATATTGCTGATCTTATTTATTTGCACTGCACTGGATTTACTTGATTGCTTCCAGTTTCCACCAACCATAACATAAAAAATTGAATCCGTCTGAGGTCAGAATGCACATATTTTAATTTACTGGCCTCCAATACTTCTGCGCATGCGCGTTCGCACCAAGTTTGATGCCATCCATCCGCTCCGCGCCAATGGCGCCATTTCTTGCCGTTGCTGGCCGTTGCCGCCAAATTGCCGCCGCTTGATATCCGTGTGGAAGTGGAGAATATTGGAGAATCGTATGATAAAATCGATTGTGGGATGTTATAAGGTCTTGGATAAAATGGAAGATATGCATGGTGCTCGCCCTGGCTTCGGAGGGTCTGACTTTGGTAACCCAACTGGAGCGGGATTTTGGAGAGGACCGTGAGTAGAAATATTCAGACCCTAGAGCACACTGAATTACGTGATGTCGAAGCTCCTACAATGTTTTTTTCGGATTTCCTCATGTATCTCGTCTGGTCTGTCATGTCCGTCGCTAAGCCAATTCCGCACCACAGTCCACACTACTAAATCTGTACCGCACCATGCCATGCCAATACCGCACCACACCACACCTAATCCGCACTAGCCGAACAAGCCCGCACCGACGAAATGGTGAAATTGCCATTCTTTGCAGACTGGCTAGTGGAAAATGGAAGCCTTTTCTCCAATGAGTCGGAGTGGACGTGGTACCTACTGCAAGTACTGTCACATTTTACCGTTTTCACCCGTAGTAGCGAGGGCTGTATTTATGCCTATATATGGTCAGCAAAAGTCGGTATTAGTATATATTAGGTCCGAGTGGACAATTGTGACGCTGTTGATACAAATATGTAACAGCAAAAAATTTAGGTTTTAGGTTAGGTTAGGTTGTAGGTTTGTAGGTTTTAGGTTTTAGGTTGGTAGGTTTGTAGGTTAGGTTAGGTTAGGTTGTAGGTTTGTACTGTTAACGCCAGACCCCTTGAGACCCTAATTTTTCGCGATTACTTTTAAATGCGTGAAGGTATTTCAACCAAGCTCAGGACATGGCCGTTTCAAGACAGGCCGAAACTTTTACAATTTAGATATTTTATCGCCATTTCAATATTTCAGGCACTTGTCATTGACTCGTAATGTTAAATTTCGAGCAAGATTTTCATCCGGTGTGTAGAGGCTATCACCAGTCAGTCTGTGATACGTTATGACGTCACAGCTAAGCCCCGCCTCTGTGGTCTTGGCCTGCGGCGGTTTGGGGCCGGCGCGCGGTCACTCTCGCTGTGGCGGGGAGCGGGGACGGGCGACGGTCGAGCGGTGCCGAAAGCCGGCGGAGTTGTGCGTAGCGTCTTGGCTGACAGTGCCCAGACTCCAGAGAGTGACATGATGACTAAGGAGTCATAAATGCTCAATGCGCATTGCTTCTACAATGCTGATATGTTTGCTGATATATATTTTTTTTATATAAGCTGCAAATGACGGGCAGATGGCATATAACTGACATAAGGTTAGGAAATATTCACCTGTATTTAAAGCCTATGGCGTTGCAGATAATGCGATAATGGGATGTCGGATGTCACCAAGTAGCTGCCGATTTGTACATCGCTATGAAACCATCGAACAACGCAATAATAAGTTAATTGCCTGAGCTTCACATCATACGGCTCGCTCGTATTTCAAACAGATACCCTACATCGAAAATCGTATTTGTTAGGAATCATTAACGTTTGTTCGAAGCACGACTGAGTAGTAGGTTGAGGAGTGATGGTCCTCTTGGTCCTATATACAAGAGTCAACAAGAGCCTAACATTTACTTGACCGTCTGCTGCAATTGACTCATAGCACGTGAAGCGTCAGCGAAATTCATAGTCCTTCACAGATGGCAGGGGTGTCGTTTGTACAGAGGTCGCTGATGGGCACGGGTCAATGCCGCAGTCGTGGGCGGAGCCTAATGTCATATGACGTAGAAAGCCTTTATCCAGGATGGAAAAACAGTTAACATTACGAGTCAATGACAAGTGCCTGAAATATTGAAATGGCGATAAAATAACTAAATTGTAAAAGTTTCGGCCTGTCTTGAAACGGCCATGTCCTGAGCTTGGTTGAAATTCCTTCACGCATTTAAAAGTCATCGCGAAAAATTAGGGTCTCAAGGGGTCTGGTGTTAACAGTAGGTTGTAGGTGGTAGGTTGTAGGTAAATAGGTAAGGTTAGGTCAGGTTTGATTATGTTTTTTCTTTTATTTCCAAGACATATAAGTATCATTTTTGGATTCAGGATGTCAAATAATGTAAGAATATGAAAACTTTATCTTTTTACAGTCACTCGGACTCAATCAAAAGTCTAGGTAAAAGTATACATTAGGTAACTTCACTCGGACATAATATATACTAATACCAAAGTCTATTTATTGACCGATCAATTTTTTTATCTTTGCCTCCTAGTTTCCCCAACTGAACTAGTTATGTATGTTCAAGTGTGCTCCTTTTTGGGAACACATTTTCGTTCCCATATTTGGGAATGACAAACCTAAATGTGGGAATGCTATGTAGGCAGCATTTAACCTTGGCCCAGTGGGGGGCTGGCATATGTTATCACCCTGTCACGTTTTTTCATGTGTGAATAAAAAACTGGCGTGTAGCGCTGTGCCGCTTCAAGTAGCTTTCTGTACTTCAATTTTGGACAATGTGAAATTTTTGACCCCAGGTCATGTCAGGTCAGGTCACCAGATCAAGTTAACTGATCAAGCCTACAAAAGTTTGCAATGATGTCCAGCCTGCAGTGTTTGTCAGAGGTTTTAAACTTGGTGGACTGTAATTGCATGATGTTATGGGCACCTATAATTTGTATATCTCAGATTTTTTATATTCGTGACCTAAGGTCAGGCCAGTGCCAGTGACGTGACCTTTCCATTATAAGTCAATGGAGAAAAATGAAAATGCCTCTAGATCCGTGTGTAAGCATAGGAACAGTCCAAACATTTCAGAATCACAATGATTTGGACCACCCGTGACAACAAGGGTGTCTTTTTTGCTGATAGCCTCTAGAAAGGTCATCCAAGGTCATTTGAGGCTACAAACAGATTTTTTTTCCAAACACTCTAGATTGGGAAGAGATATACCTAATGCTGGGGATGGCTTCATTGTGTTTGTCTTGTCGAGATGCATCAAATGATATGCAACATGACCTATTTGTGTCACCATGTGACCTTAACCTGAGGTCAAAGTTTGACCTTGACCTTTCCAGGTAAAAAATATATTTTCCGAAACAACTGAAGGAGAGAAACACGATAGTGCCATTGCCAATTCTTCATCTTTGCTGGTTGAAAAATTATTCATGAAAAAAAGCTTTATCCAAAAACAGCTATTTTCAGAATGTTTGACCTATGGAGGCTTAACCCGCGACCTGGTGGGGGGGGGGGGGGGCTATTTTTTGCCCCCCCCCTCCAGACTTTTCGATATATCTCCAGAACCGCTGCGCCGATCGTCACCAAACTTTCAGTAGGGGAGAGTGGGGTAAGATGCCCAGGGTGGGAAAGACGCCCCACCCCCTCTAGCGGGGAAACAAAGAATCGAACCTGGAAATTAATGTTCTTAGCGTAAAGCGGAAGCCTGCCTTGTTAACTGCACAAAAATTTGCGAAGCTCAGTTGGGCAACGGCTGGCTGGTGATTGTATGTTTTTTATTTGCTGCTTTCAAAAAATATTTTGGCGTCAAAACATTGTAAATATCAAAGAAGATAATTTTTGCGTCCCTTGCTATAGTCGTGATACATTAACATGCGTGTACTGTGTCCCAAACAGTTTGTTTCAGGGTGTAGTTTTATGGCTAACAAATTGTGCTGATTTAATGTTACTTCGGTACCTTGGGGTAAGATGCCCCCTGTCCTGATGGGGAAAGACGCCCCCCTAAATCCGTAGGCTGTCCTTCAAGCAGCCCGTCAAATCATTTCTTACATACTTGTGATGAGAGACAAAAGCCGATCTGGGACTATTGAGAGTCCGGTACGGTCGAGTGCTCCCCATGCCGGTCTCTCGGCCCACACAGCGACTTTTTGGGCGGCATCTGACTCTGAGAGAGCCCTCACGACGGCCTCTGTGGGCCCCATTATTGGTTCCAGGGCCCCTCACGACATCCTTTGAGGGCTCCCACGTTGGCTCCACGGGCCGCGCTGGCATCTGAGGTCCCCACAATGGGCTCGAGGGCCCTCAAGCATCATGAAGGGCCCCACAGTGGTCTCCGAACGCCACCACGGAGGCTTGTTTGGCCACGCTGGACTATGATGGCCCTAACGATGACCTCTGAAGCCCCTTACGACTACTTTTGAGGGACCTTACGATGACGTTTGGTGTCTACTGCAGGCTCGAAGGGACTACTGATTCGTTCAGGCGATTCACGTGCCTATTTATGTCACTTATAGTGCAGGGGGCATCTTACCCAACGCCAGGGGGCGTCTTTTCCACCCTGTGGGGTAAGACGCCCCCTTTCACTTCTTCAGGAAAATGCTTAATAGCAAAAAAAGTTATCATGTTTCAGGCACGAAATTGTGATATTTTTGGAGAAAAATGATGTCGGCTTCCGTTGAAACTCCAAGTTTTGGCTTTCCGATCGTCATTTTCGAATAATATATGACATAGTCAAACCCTGGGCATCTTTCCCCACTCTCCCCTACCCTCCCGGACATCAATTTTACACATTGTGACCAAAAATTTTTCCAAAGGCTATGATAGGTTGGCCGGAAATGACGTCAGAGTGACGTCATGTTCTGCCGTTTTCGACCCAAAAAAGGGTTTCGCGGGAAGAGCTGTCAGGCCTATAGCTTTGCAAATACAGAAAAATGATAAGAACATAAAAGCTGTAGAATCAACAGGGCTACAAAACTGCTATCTTGGATTTTTAAAATTTTTGGATTTTGACCCCCAAAAATAAAAAAATAATTTTTTTGGATATAATTATCGAAAAATTCAAAAAGTTTTTTGAATTTCGCAAAAACCGGAATATATGTGATAGTCCTTACCGCCTTCCATCCATATATACCAAATCTGAGATTGATACCTCGTTTTTTGGCGAAGTTATAGCGAAAAACTGTTCAAAATTGATGACATCAAGTTTTCAAGCTCAATTTTTAGCAATTCTAGACCCCGTAGCGCAAAACAAAGATCACCATTAGACTCCCCGTGACGAGCTGCATCGAATCAATACCCATTTTATGCAAAACTATCAACTTTAAAATTTGACCTTTTTGGCCTGACCTTGACCTGACCTTGACCTGAACTGCACCAGAAAGTGACCTAAGCCGTACCTGATAGTCTTATAACCAACACCATTGAGTTGGAAATGAAAAATTGGCCATAAAACATGCATCACACAACCTTAGCAAAGTTGGGCTCATGTGACCTGACCTGTGACCCTT